ACTCTCCTGCCCCCTGAGCTGTCTCCCTGTGCATAAGCAGCCCTTCCTTCTCCCATGATTGTTCTCTCCAGGGCGTGTGTCTACGTGATATACCTCAAATTTTTAATACAATAGGCTTTATAGAGGAATGGGACCGTGGGTATCTGTGGTTAGTCATTGCCTGGAGGGACATTACGGACTGCATGACTGTATTGTCATTGATCTGGCAATTTCACTTGTAGATATGTACCCAAAAGAATTGAAACAGGAGCACAAATATATACCTGTACACCAATACATGAAATACATTCATTGTACAACTGTTCACAATAGCTAAAAGGTTGAACTAACCTGAATGTCCATCAACAGATGAATAATAAACAAAATATGGTATATAGTCCTCATCTATAAAGAGGAATGATGCAGTACAACATGGGTGAAGCTTGAAAACATGCTAAATGAAATCAGTCACAAAAGGAAAAATACTGTGTGATCCCACTTCCATAAAATAAATAGACAAGACAAATATATAAAAAAACAAAACAACACTCACTGCCATCAAGTCGATTCTGACTCATAGCAACCCCCATTGTGTTTTCAAGGTGGTAAATCTTCATGAAAGTAGATTACTAGGTGCAAGAACGAGGAGGGAAAGAGAGCACTGAGTTAAGGACAATGGAAAAATTTGAAAATGCAAAATGATGATTGCATAAATTATTAAAATAATGTCAATGAATTGTACACATGAAAAATGTTGAAATGGCAAAAAATAATTGTACCTTTTTACTGTAATTTCAGTGAAAGTTTACAGAGTAAATTTATTTTCTGTTCAACAATTCATATGCATTTTATTTTGTGACGTTGAATGCAGTCCCCACAATGTAACAGCACTCTTCCTTCTTCTTCCTTGTGTTTACCATTTCCATGCATCTTTCTTTCCTGTCCCTTTCTGCCTTCTGAACTTTATCCCTGGGCAAATGTTTCCCTTTTGATCTTGTGTGGTTGATACTAATGAGTGTGTACCTCTGTAGTGCTCTGGTTCACCTTATAAGCCTGTATGTTGTTTGACTGACAGTTGAGCCACAGAGGTGAGTTCATTTCCAGGCTTAAGGATGCCTAAGGGTCAGAGTCTGGGGGGGTACCACCATTCTCTTATTAGACCAGTAAGCCTGTTCCTTTTTGTTATTTTGAGTTTTGTTCTACATTTTTCTTCCACTCTATCCAGGACCTCCTATTAGGATCTCTTTCAGAGCAGTCACCAGTGGTAGCTAAGCACTGTCTCCTTCTAGTCTCAGGGTCATGGAAAGTAGGGTTTTTGTGGTCCATTAGTCCTCTGGAATAATTGTTTCCTTGCATCTTTGATTTTCTTCACTCTTCTTTGCTATGGACAGGGAGAGACCAAAAGCTAAACCCTAGATGACTGCTCAAAAGCTTTTAAGACCCCAGACACTACTCACCAAAGTAAGATGTAGATCATTGTCTTTGTGTACTATATTTTGCCAGTTGACCTTGATGTCGCTCGAGACTATAGTCTTGAGCTCCTCGGTGCAGCAACTCATTCCTCAAAGCATTTCCTTATGGCTGAGATTTTCATAACTTTGCCCCTCGGGATTAAGTATTTTGTGATACGGGGCTATATTCATGGATATATTTGCAGCATATGTAAATACTTACGTAGAAATATACTCTGTCCTAAATATATTTCTGAGTATATTCCCATTTGCCTTCCCATACCATCTCAGCTTGCGTATCTATGTATCCATTCAGAGACTATTGTTATTACTGTTATTGCAAGATTGTGTATGAAATAATAGTTACCATTATTGCTTGTAACTCTTATGCTCCTCCCATTGCCTTCTTTTGCCTTGATCATTTTCTCCTGACCTCTACTGTATTGTATATTGACTTCCTTTACACCCAAGCTAATACATATAGACCTTCTAGTTAATGATTTACCCTCCCTACCCTTCCCACCTCTAGTGACCTACAAAGGATGATTCTCGGTGTAAACCTTTTCTGAACTTTTTTTTTCTCTTTTTAAATTGTGATTTGGGTGAAAGTTTACAGAGCAAATTCACTTTCCATACAATAGCTCACATACACTTTGTCTCATGACACTGACTGAAATTTACCACAATGCAACAGCTCCCCTCCCACTTCTTCCCCATAGTTACCTCTTCCCTTTGTCCTTCCCTCCATGCACTCCTGCTCCCTCAGTTGTCTCCCTGTTCATCCACAGCCCTTCTGGTCTCCCATGATTGTTCTCTCCAAGGAGTGTATCTGTCTAATGTAAATGTTGACCTCATATACCTGTCTTGTCTTTGGCTGGAAGCCATTGGAGTGGGTTCAGTTCCAGATCTGAAGACCAGCTAGGGGCCATAGTCACAGTGGTTCCA